GTCATAATGCCGACAAAACGGTTTTGGCATAATAAGAACAAGGAAGACGATAATTCTACTTAGAACAGAAGTTGGTCCCTCCGGTGAGGAAAATGTCTACAAGTTTGATGGGGGTCTGCATATTAAGGCAAGTCCTTTTCCACGTAGCAGTTATTGTTTGGTTGCAAGTTGGTTTCAAAGCAGAGTGTCAAGTAACGAAAGCTAGTATATTGTAAAAAACAGGTTATTTTTAAAAATTACCTGAAAGAAAAGTGTCTTGTGCTAAGCTAAACATTCCGAGTTTGATGTTTTGCTGAAAAATAGTCAGAAATGTCATTTGCAACTATAATATTGCAGAGAACATTCGATTCCTCGCATCATGTATAGTCTCTGTTGCACAAACGACTAGAGCACTAAATTTTTTATCAGCACTGTCGCGTGGGATATTTTTTGAGGTTAAGGTTAGTTGCGTTATGTAGAGACGCGAGACTCTGTTAACAAAACGCAGTACATTTTCATAAATAGTAACATTTTAGTAATTAAAGTATTCACATGTGTAAGTGAAAAATTTGTCATGGAAAGGACACTATGGAAATATCTACAGCTATCGAAACTATCTACAAGAAATCCAATACTATCGTTCCCCTTTAGTTAATAATTCGGCTACAAAAAGCACTCTGCATTGAAGTCAGTTGCAAAAACTTTAGTCGGCACAGTTCTAACCTCAAAATCATCACTTTAACAGAACTTGTAAATCACCGATTCACATCAAACTTGATAACTCTTAACCGGCAACGTTTCGAATCTCACTGGCCGCAACCCACGTGCTTCGACCTTTCTTTCCGCACCATAACCGCCGAAGACGCGCGGCGTCGCGACGTAACACTGCTAATTGCCTCCGTCTTGGACGTCGTCGTCGTCGTCGTCCGCGGTAGGCGTCGGTACGCCTCGCACGCCGCCTATTCTATTTTGGGGTCCGGCAACCAGTAAGATAAAACAATCGCCTCTTCGTTGTATTTTTAACTCGGAAAAATTTACTTGCATTTAAAAACCAGTACCGGAACTGAATATTTCTATATTCTGTCCAAACAGAATGAAAAAGTCATGAACACCTAGTTAATGAACTACAGAGCATCTTCAAATAGAGTGAGGTCTACAAAATTAATTGTTTTGAAAACTGATTTTATATAATTTAGGTAGGCTGATTTTAAAAATTTTATGCATTTATTTGTAACACGTAAGGTTTGTTGTAAATATCAAAAAGAAAAGAAACTGTATTTCTAAAATAGTTCAAGTGTGAAAAAAGGAAATGCACTTTCCAACTCATATGACAATCTAAACGATGATAGTGTTATAACATATGTTGAACAATACTTTCATAGTTTTCGTCCTTTGAGTTCCCAAGAAACTTTTTTAAATAAAACGCAGTCGTTTGTCTCGACATTGGTCATTGTGCTTTGAAAATACTTGTTTTTGCAAAATGTTCTTATTTGCAGTGCAAAAAAATTTCTTTTATCTTAGCATCAGATAAGACTGGAAATTTCTAGTACAAATATTTGAAACACTGTCCATTTTTGTCTAGGGCTTTAACAAACTGCTCCATCAAGCCAAGTTTGATATGAAGAGGAGGCAGTAAAACTTTTTGACGGTCAACTAAGCTATCTCTTAATATATTTTCGCTACCAGATGTAAGGCTTATTCTAAAGGGCCATTCTATTTGAGTCCAATGTCTATCTCTTGCCAGACTATCCCAATCACAAATAAAGCATGGAAATTTTGTAATACCCCCACTGTTGTCCTAAGAGCATGCACAGCACTTTAAACTCACCCACAAAGCATCCACTGATGTTCTTGGTAGTTTATTTTCTTTAAAAGAAGTCCTAAATTTTCATACGTTTCTTTTAAATGTTCCGAATGTGCAACGGGAACCGAGGCCCGTTCGTTACCATTGTACAATAAAGCATTTTTTAAACTACGCTTACTTGAGTCAATAAACAGGGGGCATTCTTCTTTTCCTAATTTTAAAACTAAGTCAGGAATATTGTTGCAATACACTAGCGGTACTTTCTGAATAAAATATTGACATAACTCTTTTTCGCGATACCGGTAAAAGCTTGGTGTGACGTCAGGTGCCAGTAAATGCTTGTCCTGAAATGTGGATGCTAACCACTAATCATTTAATTCGATCTGGTTAAACACTGTTTGCTCTCTGAAATCTAGTACGAAATCTGAGTCATCTGGATCGGAATTAAATTCCTCTGATTGTGACAATATAACGTTTTCTTGTTCTTTTGGGGCTGTAGGTATCGGTACATCTGGTCGGCGAGGAACTGGCCGAATAGCAGAGTCAAGATTGAGATACACAATTTGTTTCTTATTATATAATTTTCTAAATTTTTTCAAAAAATCATTAATATTAATAAAATAACATTTTTAAGATACAGAGCGATGACGCGATGGTGTAAAAATATGGCGTTTTTTGGAAAAAGGACCTCCAAAAATATAAAAACAAGCAAAGAGCTTTCAAACATCAAAATCATTTTAGATCTGTGTAGTAGTAATGAGTTTTTATTCCTCTCTTCATCTTTGGGCTCATACGTTTTAAAAAAATTAAAATCTGACCTAACAATCGAGAGCTTATACACGAAAACTCTTTTTTTTTCGTAAATGAAATTTTGATGTCCTGGATAAAGTTTTTAAATCCGGCCCTGTCAGTACCGAGACGGATTAGTCCGAAGCGAATAACGGCCTTCCCGTCGGCTGTATTATTTTTGGCAAAAACTCCCGATTGCATATTTAGTTTATACCCCGTTATTTGCGTTAACATGTTTATAAAAACGACTGCCTACCATTTTCGTATTTACGCTGATTTGTTAACTTTGGCGCTTCTGCATCGAGTAGCAAAAATGTTACTATTTCGATTTCCCGTATGTTTCATTGATGGATACTCATTCAGTTCCATGTTCCAATTCCTTTGCGCTATTTTCTTTCTAAACCGCTGAAACGTCCCTAAATAGTTTTTTTTACAAAGAAACTTCCACAGGCTACTGTAATGCTTTTTACAAAACTTCTGGATTCCGTCAGTTTCAGTCAAGCTCTCAAGAAGCCAACAGGATGATTAGCGAAACGTCAGCAATTTCGACTACGCAAAAACAAAGTTTTGTAAAAAGCGTAGCTAACTATTATTTTCCAAGAAAATTTGTTTTCATCTGAGCAAATGAAAACAAAAAACTGCCGAATTGACGAACTCTCAGCGACCATATTAATTGAAGACCGCGGTCATTGGTTGTAAGCGAAATTTTAAATCACTGGAACATGCGCACATTCTGAATTGAGAAGTTTTATGAGAATTTAATGGAATTTGATTTGCAGAAGTTAATTTTACTGACAATACGTAAGAGAAGTTAAATCCTTTTAGCAATTTTATGATAACATGTTAATCCGTCAACTTACTTAATTGACCCTGAAGTCTAGTTTTTGTCAGATATATAACGACTTCCATTGTCTTTAAAGCTATAATCGCAGAAGAGATACATTCTCGCCTAACTCCGCCCATTTGGAACCACAGAACAAGAAGGTCTACCATTCCGTAGGCGCTTTCTTGTAGTTATATCAACTAAGTAGTAGAGGCTCCTTAGATATTTGCAAATTATCACCCTAAAGCAGAAGTTCTTAGCCTTTTTTCTCATAGACCACTTTGAAAATTTACCTGTTTCCAATGGACCCTCTGCAGCTACATCTCTGAATATGGAGTATGCAAGTTTGTACAAGTAAAAGTTTTTCGCAGCTCCCGCTTTTAAATTGTGAACCCCCTGAGATCCACCTGGTTCATTATGAGAACTAAGGCAATAAAAGCTCATGGATTGTATCAAAGTGAAACATTAACTGCTGTATGTCTAAGGGATCAGCGCAAAAAAATAATAACATCTCCGTCGTTTTCTGCTTTCAATTAAATTTGACAAACGCTACTTTAGTGACTGATGAAGTATATCAATGTGTGAAAAATATATTTTTCTACTCCCGTCTGTAAAATACCTAATTACGCACCGATCTAGCGTGCGGGAAGCGTCGCTATACCACGTCAGTTTCGTTTCCCACGAATCCGAGCCACGTCGGACATTTCCGCGATTTTACCGCACGGGTTTGGCAGCAATCGGATGTTTTCGGAGATATGTCCCACGCTCTGAATTTTGACGTTTGCCAATTCTGGCGGTTATGTCAGTGAATGTATTCGTGTTGTTTTGCGAAAATGTACCCAATAACTAAAAGTCGTAGAAAAAGTATAGTATGTAATACGTTCGGTAAACTTTTTAAGTCACTCGTTTATTAAACACTCGCTCCGCTCGGGTCAAATAAACTAGTGAGTCAAATGCCGTTTACCGAACTTGTTGCATAATATACTATTTTCTACTCCGTACTCTAAAATGCACGAAGCGTGAGCAAAGTGACTCTTTGGGATGCTTCTTTAGCCACGGTCGCAAATAACTTCGGACGTTGCCTGTACTTGGATTTTTTGGGTAGATTTTAAACACTGATAAGACAAATTTAAATCAGTGACAAATTATTATTCAGCAAATTAAGGCAAAGAACTCACAAAATTTTCTGAGATTATTAAGTTTGCAAAGCTTTGTTTTTGGTAGCCAAATTACTTGCAGTTGGTTGGTTTTTGTGGAATTGGAAATGGCTGTTATTAAAATTAAAATAAATGACAAAGATTAACAACCTCAATCAGACTTGATTGTCCGCAATTAATAATATAAGTTCATAAGGAGCAACAGTTTTGTGATTAAAAGAAAGTCAAAAATGCCTTTTTCCCGATTATTTATAATTTGTCATTTTATTTATTCCATTCCATTCAGACCGATCTGACATCATTGGTGAGTCATTGGTAGGATGAAAACAATTGATCACGTCAGTGATCTAAAATCGCCTTTGGTGTTTTGACGTTTATTAAACACTCGCCGGATTCACTCGGATAATATAATATTACCTCTTATCTCTCAAACTAAACTTAGACTTACCTGAAAAAATAGGACAAAAGCCACCCACTGGTAGTATTTCACTTGCTTGATTGGTTTGTTTCCAGCGAATAACACCCCTGGATAGTGAGCTTGGTCGGTAACTATGTTGACATTTGCGTCTCTTACGGTGAAGGTCGAATGTATCCAGCAGTATGTGTTTAACACGTCTTCGGGAATATCCCTAATAAAATAATAATAATAAATAATAATTTAAAATTATTCTGGTATTAGATTTGCTAAACACCCGCCGTGATGTATCTGATAAAAATAAATAAAAAATAAAGGCTAGTATACAGAAATACTTTACAAACCTTACTGAATCTCAATAGCTTTGACATTTGCAGTGAATATAATTACTAACTTCGTTTTCACTTTCAAATGATTTCAAACAGTATTTGCAGTAAGTCAGTTTTGTTCTATAATTAAATTTCTTTTTAGAAGTACTAATGGGTTTTCCGAACGTCACACAAAGTATCGGGGCTTACTAAAACCCGTCCGTTCATTTTTTTTCGTCCTGGAAATATATTGTTCCTTTTATTATCGTCTATTCGTAACAAACGAACAAATTCTAGAGAACATTAACCAAAAATTTCATGTAATAAAAATCGTAATTAAATTTAAACGGCTGCCAATCAATCCACTTGGAAATTAAATTAGATTATATTATAAACGGAAAAAAAATCAATAAATCAAAAAGTCTATTAAACGTTCTTCTGGTTTCTTTCTCATTTACGTAATACGCAGTACCTATACGCCATAAATTATGCAAAATGAATTGCCAATTAAAAATTGTAATAAATTTTAGATGTTGACTTTATTTGACTATTATTAGTTCGTTTAACTGTAGAAGGTTTGTTAATCTACATTGATCTAATTCTTAATCCACGTTTTTTTTCAAACAACTATTTTACATAATTGTTGTTGGAATTAAAACACTAGCACCGGCGCATCCACCATTTATTGAACGTGATGGAATGATAATACCCAACCGATGAAAATTCATTAATCAGTTTTAAGAAATATGGTCCGAATTATTACAAAAGCGTAAGGTGACGTCATGATTTCCTATGCACGAATTATTTGTTTTGTTCTGTTCTATTGCCTGCTTTCAGGTAGGTATATAAACTAGCTCTATATTTATAGAGGTCTAAGAGAGCGAGAGAAAGAGAAAAAGAAACAATTTTCGCGCGGGAGGCGATGACGTCACTGTACACCTTTCTAATAATTCTAGCTGGGCCTTATTACCTTGTGTGCACACAGTCGATAGGATTTCCTACGTATTGTCTTGTTGTAACAACTATTGAAAACGTTATCAAAATGACAACGCTAGCATTGGTGTGCAGACGAAATATCGGTGAATCTATCACTATACTACTAGTCTGAAAGGAAAGTACAAATATCATTGACTGATTCGAAATGACATCAACGTTTTAAGTCAAGTAAGCATATCATGGACCACACAAACTCTAGGCGGTTAAAAACTAGAGGCTTTATAAATAGTGGTCTTTTTTAAGAGCGACTACGGGAGGAAACACGTGTTCGCGGAATACCGATTGCGAAAACCTCATTTTAAATTTAGATAATTAATTCTTTGATGTCGTTTCACTCTTTGACAAGAATAATTGCTACAATTAAGAGTGTAATTTTTCATTATCTTGTAATGTTGCGGACACCTCGTCGATAGAATTATGGCTTCGGACTTTCAACGTTTTAATTTAATTTAATGGGGTCAATAAAGAAAACTCGCTTGGGAGAGTGAAATACGCGAACCAGGATAAACAAAAATATCAGACCAATACCATCAAATTCATTATTTTATATTGTATATAATTAATTATTACTCAATTATCTCAAGCGTGCTTAGTTTGAGACCCTTCTGTCTCATAAAATTTTTTGTTATCTACTCCTTTTATTTTCACGAATTTTTGCCTCCTTGGTGATTTGACTTGTAAATAGCGGTAAAGAAACCGAAATCAAAATCGCCAATTAAACTTCCAGCAATTGCGCAAAAACTATAAATCAACCGCACGGTTTATTTGGCCAACGTGCCAAAAATGAAGGATCGAAATTTAGATTATTGCACGGTTTATAGCCGGTGTTGTTATGCTTTGTAACCATATGGTTTTTTTTTTCTAAATTTCATTGATTGATTAATTATAAGTGCAGATTTTAGTGGCACGTTTTCTTTTATGTTTGGTTATTATTAATATTATTATTAATTGGAGATTCTCTAGCAAGTATGGCGGCTCAGCCACTCTTGCTATGAAAAAATAATATAACAGTGATTTGAAGATGAAGATTTGTTACAAACTTGTATATTTTAATTATTTTGGGCTACTAAGTTCTTAATTTCCAGTTTTTCATAATTGTATTAGTAAGAAAGTTTTAAGAATTTTCGGAGGTTTTCATCAATTTCAATATCCTAGAAGTTATAAAAATGAAATATAAATTTTAAAGAATTTATATTGTAACTTAGTAGCCTAATTCTTTAGGATATTTACTAATCAAACACAATTTTGAATAGTGTCCAAAGCAGTTTTTTATGCTTCGTGCACTAAACGTTCACACATTCCATTGTTTAGTTTACGAATATGTGGTTACTTAAAAATTTGTAATTAAATTAATAAAATAATAATAGCATTAATAAATATTAAGGAAATAATATTGTTTGAATTGTTATTAAGAATTGAGTCTATTTTGTACATGCTTTTTAAATTTTTGGAGAACTTTTCTTTGCTACTTCGTATAACATTATTATTTCTACATAGTGCATACAACAATATTAATTAATATCAACAATAGATTAATATCAGCTTGACCCTCGATACACAGGGACATATTATTTTCTAATATAAATTTGGTGTAGATTTAAACTTAGTAATTAAACATTTTTTGTGTGAACTTTTGTTTAAAGGGACATTTGCATCATTTGACTCCGTAATACGATTTGTTAACTATCTTATTTTCGACAAATTGGTTAAGGCCGTCCCCGCCAGTTGATCTGTTGTCCTGATTCAGATCTAAAGACCGTTGTCGATTGGAATCGCTTCCTAACGTTTGCTAGAACTAGTGGCTTCTTCAGAAGCCCTTCCGTCTTCAATTTCCCACATCGGACGCCAAGACAAAAGTTCAAACTTCAATAATTAATTAATTATTTTTATTCGGATATTCTCTCAGAATTAAATGTCAAAAATGGCTTATCTAAGTTAAAAAATTGATTTTGCAATTATAAATGCTGCGTAGCTCCAAATAGCTGCCAGTATTTTAATAATAAATGATATTACTATTTTGGAAAACTTACTTGTGTGAGCATATAAAAACTTCTCAGCAGGTCCATTGCGACGTAACCTTCGTTCCTCTGAGCCCGCCTTCTCCTTCGCGGAAAATCCAAAGTGTGCCTTTTCAATTTTGATTTTAGCGCCGGTTGGACTTTGGGGTGGGTCTTGTAGAATATGCGTTCTTTGTGCCCGAAACTTCCCACCAGGCTACTGGTTTCGGGTTTAGGTCTTCCCATGGGGCACTTATAGGATTGGTAACGCCAATGATCATCTTTCGATTCGCGGGACACTCCACAATGCTGTGGTGGGCAACAAATAAAAAAAAAAAATGCCATTTTCAATAGTCGTAGATTGGTAACAATTCATATTTATTATTGTTCTTAGTGTATTTACGTGAATACAATAATTGTTTATAGGCAATAAACATTTTGGTATTTAAAAAAAAAAGAAAATTCTCATGCGGTAGCTTAGCCAGGATTTGTGTGTTCGGAGTTTCGTAGTGTTTGTATTTATTTAAGTTGATTATAACAACTTAATATTATCTTTGGTACACCCTAATTTAAAGAAATAGGAATCCAAGTACTTAAAGGATTAGACTGAATAACTTAATAAAGCGTTTTTCTTTAAATTTATCTTAAATACTAGATTTCAAGGAAAATATTCAAAAGCGCGTATATGAAACGTCAAAGTTGATTCAAAGTTATATTAAACATTTTAAAACCAAATTAAGTTTGGTTTGGTTAAGTTGGACTTAAAAAATAAGATAAAAATATTCAATAAATTATATTATTTAATAAAATGAATTTCCATGTAATGCAGAGTTTATAGGGGTGACAGTGTATATAATGAGTTTCACAGATACTTTTTATTAATTTTAAAATGAAATTTTTGGTATACATTTTCCGGTAAACCCACAATGAATGAATGAAGAATGAAGTGTGGAGACAAATATAGTAGATTGAGCATAAGCGAATTTTTTTCCAACAATTCGGTGACAGTTTTTCCCAAAAAAATCGACGTTGTCTGTTGGAGGCTGAATATGTGAACCAAAGAAATCTCGAGTTTATTTCGAGACAGTAAAAAATCACCAAATACCAAAAGACTTATTTCTGCAAAGAAAAGGCAAGGACGTTAAGTATCAATTTGTCAAAATATGTTTGGAAAACTTTTCAAAACTCGGTAAGTTTGTTTCTCAGAACTTCGTGCCGACATGTTTATAGAATTTATGATGAAAAATTCTTATATATTGTTAAACATTTTGCAAAATTTATTTAGTTTCATAAATAAATCTATAGTAACTTTAAATTGAAGAATCTCTTCGATTTATTTGTCGGAACGTTTGATGAGGCTGTCAAGTTGTCAAGATACCAACTTCATAAATATGTATAACATTATAAGCTTAAAAGACGCCCCTGATGAAATTGCTCGGTTAGGGTTTTTATCTTTCTATCTCTTTTTCAGGTCGAGTTGAGTTAACCAAAAGATATATACCTCAAAGTGCCACCCAATACTGCTTTGTAAACATAAACGACATGTGCACGAGGAAGTGAATTTGATTTCGTTTCAAGCAGAGTTCAAGAGCGTTTATGAATTGTTTTAATATGCCAACGTGGATAAAAACTTTCATTCTTTTACTGTCTCTAGTCACTTTTACCGCACTTACCTGGATCTGTATCGAGGGTTACCATCACCAAGGGCATCGTTCCAGCACGGTCACCCATACGATTAGACACATTTCTTCACTAGAACTCGGGAAAGTCGAAAACAAAGCGGTGCCTGGAAATAATTGCCAGAGTTCGAAAACGCTACCACGACTAATTTTAAATTTCGTTGTGTTCGCGGTTGTTCAATCTTAGATCGCCGCAGATTGTCAGCGACAGAATGCAAAACTTTTTTTTTTATTTTTACTATCACGCGAGTGACAGCCGAAATCGTTGTTAATAAATTATGTACTAACGAAAATACACGGGAACATGTGGAAAACATGGACGTGCTGGCCGAGTAGATTTGCGTTACTTATGGTGTTATTTCAGGTTAATGGTTGTAAATATTTTCTGTTTCAGTATACGCACGCTGTCTGAATTTAACTGGGTTACGAAAATAAAAAGAATTTTTGGGTTTATATGCACCTGTATCTAAGTGTTAGAAACTGAAAAATACAATCTCCATTTGAAACTTGCCTAATCTGTAACATTGCGTAACGTCAACTTTATATTCTATGCGCAGAAAAGCTCGATTTGATTTTGTTGTTATTATTTTTTCATAAAAGAACTTCTTGTTGCATTGCAGTAATTAAATTTAAGTTAAGAGTTGGATTAAATATTGCAATTGTATTTATATTTTCGTTATAACTTGTTACCCTTAATCATGAAAATAGAACAAATTTTGTACGCAATTCCTCTAACTTCAATAAAAAAATTATGATATTATTATAATTAATGCATGAAACAAACAATCTATTTGTTGATTTAAATTGTTCTAGAACTTTACGCTTTTTACTTATCAATAAGAATTATAATTAAAATAATAACAACCCTCCTAGAATTAATGAATTATTTAATTGATTTATTTATTTTCAACGGGTGGTAAATCCACTAAGTGTAACAACTTTCTTAATTCTAACTAATGGAATTAATAAAATACGTTAAAATAAAACAACTAACCTCTAAAAACAAAAAATACACATGTAGTAAATCACAGTTACATCACATGCAATATCACATTACGCCATTTAAAATTAAAAATAACAAAAATAATAATTAGAACAAAACAATTAATAATCTAACTTAAGTACGAAACACATTTGCAGTAACAAAACAGTCGAAGTATTCACTGTATTAATTGATTAGTTTGGCCGATCTGAGCACGAATGGAATTGGTGCAGAATGTTGGAAAAATTGTAGGTCTCTCGGTATAGTACTGGTTTAAAGAATCAACGTATTTAATTTGACTTACAGCTAGCTGGTAATTATAATCCTAAGTATTCAATTTGTATGCGACCTGCCACAAGAATTTGTTATGAATTCTTTCAGTATTCTCGTAGAGTAACTGTTAAAAAGCAAAATTCGTGCGTACTTGTTGCTATATTTTTTTATAGTACGCATGAGAGAGAAAAGCAGAAACGGAAAATTCAAGGAAACTTTTAAGCCCTTTGCATGTTCTGTAAGTTGGGATGAACATGTCTAGCAGCCACGACCCAAAGATCTAAGGGACCAAATCAACAAAGCATCAGCAAATTCAGGCTGCCTAAGAGTCTGGTCCAACGTGCGGAAGGACAGTAAGATTAAAATATACAAAACATGCGTTAGACATGACATGACATGACGTACGCGATAGAAACAAGAGAAGACACGAACAAAACAAAGAGAATGCTGCGCGTAGCCGAGATCAATAGCTGGCAAAACCAGAAGACACCACGTAAGAAACACCGCCATAAGAGAACAATGCAACGTACAGGATATTGTAAGAACCACGTCAAAGATGGGCGAAGATAGATTACCCCGCATAGCTCTCTAGGGAATACCAGTAGGAAGTCGTCCGCCCGGTAGACCGCCGAAGAGGTGGAGAGACAGCTGGCAGTCCACATCTCAAGAATTAATACAACGGCAAGTCCGGAATTAACAGATCATTTGATCTCAACCAAGTAGAAGAAGCATGTCCTGTATTTTATACCTTCCTGTATATGCCTTGATATTCTTGATTACCTTTATTCGTTCACACTATAGAATTTCATCATATTCATATGTCTGTGTCGTTTCGTTAAATTTAATTTAAATAAGTTAGTTTCCTTTAGGGCTTCAGCAAGTTTCGTCGATATTCTTTGTAAAACTGACACAGTATGGTATTTAAAGACAAAAATCATGTGTAAAAAAACAATAAAAATCGATTAAAAAAAACGGTCCAATTGATTTCATGCTACGCCACTGTGGAAACAATAGTGTTACTGGTGTTACGGCTGGTCCTAGTGCCAAGACCCGGACTTATTTTAAAACTGACAGGAAAAGAAAGACCCAATAAATCGCTACTCGTTGCTACAACCGACCTGTCTGTAGATCGTCGCTTTACAAACAAATATTTTGGATTTATCGTCTGCATCAAACGAAATCACAAAGTGAAAAATTATTTTGCTGCTCCAATCGATGCTAGAAATGGAAAAGATAAATTGTGGCGGCGTATGATGATGATTTGCAGTTATCGTTGTAACCAAGATATTGAATATAAACAGCAAAATGTCGACATCAGAAAAGGTTTGCAATATACTGCAACAGAGGAAATATAAAAATGATGCTCGTATATTCAATATACCCAGGCAACACCGAAAGTGCCATTTAAATATAATTAATGGCATATTTTCCGAGTGTCATAGTTTTACTTTGAACCGTTTTAAAGGAAGGTATAGTTCAAAAACTTTATTAACATATGCAAGTTTAAAAGATACATTTTGAAAGAAATATATATATATATATATATATATATAGAATCAACTGCAACAAAATGAATTTAAATCTAAACAGTAATAAAGTTTAAAATATATGGGAGATTAGTTTAATTTTATTGCGATCGGCTGGTTTTTATGGCCGTAAAAATAAGTGTGCCATAAAAGTGTTATTCCCCTTTTTTAATGTCACAGACTTTGTTTATGCTTTAAGTTGTAATAAAGATTTTTTTCAAATCTTCATACTACTTGATCTTACAGGTTATTATTTATTGAATAAGGCAGTAATTGTACAGATTGCACAAAAGTGGCGCCATCTGTCGGACCAGAATCAAGCTATGAACATTCCATATTTTAAAAATCTGTTCGAAAACGAATGTAGGTAATGATGGTGACTGTAATCTCTGACCTCGAAACATAGAGGGCGGGCCCTGCTAGGAAAATTAAATTTTATCTTGCCTCATAATGTAGCTTTCTGGCAGTCTCAAAGATATTATATATTTGGTGATAACATCATATGGCATGGAATTTGCAATTTTTCCGGCGACACTATTACCGAATTTCTGGTTTCTGGTACCGCACACTCATTTTACAAGGAATAACATGAACATCTAATAGCTAACCCAACTTGTTCCTACGTCTGACGTTTAAATGTATTTATTTTCTTTTGTCACGCAAGCAAGGTTTAGGGGCTTTTGTTTGTTATTTGTCAAAAAAACATAAGATTAGTGAGTTTTGCAAACGATTTCGGCCAATGAATTTAATTTGCCGTAATTTTGTTGCGTTTGTGCGTAGGTAGTTTCTATCATAGATATATAATTTGACGTTTGTGGTCTCTATATTAGCTCGGTTTTCAAGTTTTCAATATACTATCTGCATCTTGGAATGAGATAGAAAATACTATTGAATGGTTTGTAAAACCATTTTATGTAACCTGATCGATCACCTCTCCTGCCAATTTAATCAATCTAATTAATCATATATTTGATCGATTTATTTTTTGTACTGAAATAAAGAATCCTACGATTATACAAGCCTCATAAGTCGGGTATTTATTTTTTTAAAATCCAAGGCCTAATTACAGTGGACAAATAATAGAATCAGTTTGAGAAAAAATTCTATCATGGGAATATACCAGATGGAATGGAAACAGTTTAAATATAAGTTAATAAAATTGAGTTCAAATTTAATAAAGTTTTGTAACGAACATTTTGTCCTCCCACAACGTAAAATTACCTTTTGACAATTCCGAAATGTTATACCTGTTACAAGTATTTTCGGAACAGTGCTTCCAAGGAAAATACACCTGTTCGCGTGAGAACTAGATATTTAAAATATATTTCCAGCAATTGTCTTGCTCGGAATCATTAACAAATTTTAACCCAAAATGCTGGAAATTATTTTCAAATTTTAATTTTAATTTTTAAAAATTAAATACCATAGGTAATTTTAGTCAAGAAGAACAAAAGCTTATAAAGTCAGTAATGCCATTTAATTTAATTAATACAAGCAATAAGTAACATTTAAGAACAGGTCTTTGACTTTTGATGTAATTTTTTTCCAGGACAGTTAATACTTCCCGAGATACATTCAAGGGTCATTCTTAATGAGACACCCGCTACATTTCCCGACAACAATGCGCAATCTTCGATAATAATAAACGAACGACGGACTTTAATTGAATATCCCAACGGGGGTTGGTTATTGAACTGACAAAAAAAGGTGGCCGGTGATTTATGGATAAATGTTTGACGAATAGGAACGGAAATGTCTGAAATGCGATTTGAATTATTTAGTTATTATACCCCAATCGTATTGTTCAAACTATTGGTTCAAACACATCTACTCATGCCGAGGCACTTTGTGTAGAAAATTAGGAATATTTAATAAAAACGGAAAAGACGGTCTTTTAGTGTCTGACTAGTATTTTCCGATATTAAGCTAAAGAGCGTAATGGGGTAAGTTTTGCCACCGCACGTTAATGTTAATGGTTTTGCTTAGTTTGCTTCGAATGTTGATATTTAAAAAAAGAGAACTTTTTCATTTTTTTAAAAGTCGTCACATCTTGATTATTATTGATCTGAGAAAATAAGCGAAAAGCAAAAACTAATAATTAGCACATAGATAAATGCAGGCCAAATTGTGGGGTTACCTATTGGCATCACTAAACCCAAGTATTGCGTCGTTAAAAGTTACAGGACTCAAATCCCAATCAGAGAAGACGGGAATAACACACACAAAGTCTAATAATCTGGTACAAAAAAGAATCAAAAACTTACGAAAGAATTCCGGAATGCATGTAAAGAGGATGAAAATAAAAAGTTCTATTTCAAAGAACAAGCTAGGAACCACCACTTTAGGACATGTAAGTTAGTTTCGGATTATCACAAGGCCTCAAATGAGATCGCAAATAGCCAGAGGCTCATGATTGTACCAGATCTCTTTTGTGGGGTGGCCAAATCCATTGTGAAATCAAAATACGAATGGACACACAACCGCGACAATAATAGAGAGACACACGCAGACAAAGAGAGACCAAGGAAATTCTCAGACGTCCAACAAAATTAGACCTACTAAGCAATGAAAGAAAGACTGTAAGAATAATGAAAGGGCTACTGACGGACCACTATCGTTAAAGAGGCACGTAAATCTAATGGGAGTGGAAGAAAACGTTGAATGCAGATTCTTCTAAAAGGAATTATACCAGTGGCAAAGTCTTTCGAAAGTACATTTTTATCTGTTGGGCGTAATCAAACCAGCGGCT